GGGAAAATGAGGAGTTGCTGTTCAATAAGAATAGAGTTTCAATCGTGCAAGATGAAAAGTTCTAGAGATTACTGTACAGTGATGTGCATATAGTTAATGATATGGTTTGGCTGTGTTCCCACTCAAATCTCTTCTTTAATTTTACTTCCCATAATCCCCATGTATAGTGGGAGAGACCTGGTGGGAGGTAACAGTTATCTCCATGCTGTTCTCATAATAGTCAGTGAGTTTTCATGAGATCTGACGGTTTTATAAGGGGCTTTTCCCCCTTTTGCTCATTCTTCTGCTTCCTGCCATCATGTGAAAAAGGATATGTTTACTTCCCCTTCCACTATGAATGTAAGTTTCCTGAGGCCTCCCTAGCCATGCTGAACTGTGAGTCAATTAAACCTCTTTCCTCTATAAATCACCTAGTCTTGAGTATGCCTTTATTTGCAGCATGAGAATGGACTAATACAGTTAACAAGATTGTACTGTACACCTAAAAATTTGGTAAGAGGGTAGATCTCATGTTACATGTTTTTTACCTCACACCCATAAAAAAGAAGTATCCAAAACAGAAGTATCCAGTTAGAGAAACTGTCTTAAAAGAGTCTGAAGGCACATAGATAAAATACTAGAACTGTAAGTTGGAGAATAAACTTTTCAAGGTTAAAGAACTCTGAAAATCTGATAATCCTCCCTCAGAAACAAATACACCCCCAATACCCAAACATAAAGTCCATGTTAAGAGCCCTATGCTAATTTTTTTAAAATAGTAAAGTAAAAGTATTTAAAATACAAAGGAAAAAAGGCTAGAAATAGTCTTAAATATGAGTAGATTGTTTTTTATAATACCACTATAGAGCAAAAGACATATCTAATATTGCCGGTAACAAACAAATAATTTAGCCCACCTTTCAGAAACTTGTCAGAAAATGGAAGTTTATCTTTGGTACCCTGAAGGAGTTAATGTAACATCCTCCAAAACAAAAATGTGTCTCCTTGCAGTGCAAGGCTTGCAGTGTAGCTACAGCATACTGAGAGCACAAAAGCTCTGGTCAACCCAGGTCTGTGTAGTTGATGGGTCACTGATAGAAATGTCTCCCTCACCACCACCCTATATAAATCTCAAGACTACTGAGGAAGAGCAGAGTGAGCATGGAGCGTATCTGCAGAAAGAAGGCCCCAAATCCAATAAACTATAACAATACAAAGATGAAGGTATAGAACTGTGATGAGGGCAGTCCTTTGATTGTCCAGCATTACATGAATGGAATTTTCTTTATAAGCAAAGCGATTTTAATCCCATTAAATGGAAAACATCCTCTAATGGATTCGAGATTTCTTTGTCTTCTTGAGTTTTGTTTTTAGTTGTTGCAAATCGCCAGCATCATTAATATCCCCAATTTTCCTCAACAAAAGGTAAACAGCAAGTACATAATCAATGCATTATACTGAGAGACCACAGAGAAGAGAGAGACTACTTCTGATGAAGAAGAACAAGCTTCCTGGTGACTCTTAATGGTGGTGGTGAAGGGGCAACAGGGTTTCCTCAGAGGAAGTGAAAAAGGGAAAGGAAAGAGAATGTGTCTGGAATGATGAACAAATAGTTATGAGGTGGAAATAAGGAAAACCAAGTTGGGTCAGATAATGAAGGGTACTGAAGAATCGCACAAGGAGTTTATGCCTTTTCCTATGGGAGCTGGCGGCACAGCTACAGTTTCTCAGGAGGGAGTGACAGTTCTGTTGGTAATGATGAGCCTGTGTGTTTGCTTCCTCTTTACTAGTTTGCTGCAATCTAATACTTCAGAAATTCTAGTGTTTCACATCCAACCGACCACTGAAGGGGCTCTCCTTCAGAACAGAGATAAGGGGTTTCTTACTGTTCTTATTTATTTCCCAGTCCTGTGATGTGGTAAGGAGCAACACTCCCTCCCTACTCCTCATGTCTGCAGGCGAAGAGCGTTCCTAAGAGTAGCCCTCTGAAGGTAAATGACTGGTATTTATCAATGGATGGTGAAATATTACCTATGTATCTTTGCTTAATGGGATACCAGATGAAGCAAAGCTGGAAATACATGGAAGGCAGTTCTCAGTTACTATATTTGGTATTCTTTTCTCCCTTAGAGAAGATGATAATCATATAATACAGCATGCAGATACTGAAAATTCCTGTGGTGGGCCACTGACAACTTCCTGTGGTAGAGAAAAAGAAGCCATGGAAGTCATATCATTTAAGACATCTTGAAGAAACCTGAATTGCCCTTAAGGGACTGAATGCCTTGAGAAGCAGTGTACCCACCAGCATTTGAAGGGTCCAAGCCTAGGCTGGTCTGTTCCCTGGTGAGATGTGGGAGGCAGTAGAGGGCAACATTTACGAGTAGATAACCCAGAATTGGTTCAGGCTCTGTCATTTATTTGCTGAATGACCATGAGCAGATTATTGAACCTCTCCAAATCTTTGGTGCCTTCATCTATGTAATAGGGATAATAATATAACACACCTCACAGAATCATTATGAAAAATAAGTGAAAGGGCTTATGTACTTCAGTTAGCACTGTGCTTGGCACATAACATTAAAAAAAATAATAAAAATGATTATCGCAGTATCATTATAAGGAGAGAGTCAAGGTTAGGACGGGAAGGTGACCTAGATGATCTTTAAGGCCCCTTCTTATGCTAAGAGTCCAAGAGTTTATAACCTTCACCGATGTCACATTAGAACTAAGGCTATTATTCTCTGCCTCCAAGGCACCAAATGTGTGTGTGTGTGTGTGTGTGTGTGTGTATTTGCTAAAGTAAGATGTTTAGAGCACGCTGCATACTGTATATTAGAAATTTGTGGCTAATTCTTGACAGATGTGGCCAGTGAATCCCAGGACCCGTCCCCCACGGAATTCTGATAGACGAAGAGGATCTGGAAACACATCGCCCCCTCAGCACAATCATCAACAAAGCAAAGTGCTGGAGAGTCAGTTTACCTAGGTAGTTTTCCCTACCTTCGCTCAGTTTCATGATTAGAAATGAGAGTGCAATCAAATATTTGAAATGTTTCCACTTTTAGAATAATTCTATTTTGCAGGTGGAATCCCGGTTAACTGTGTCAAATTCTTCCATGGCAGCCTTAAAGTGTTTCTTAGGGCTTTTAATATTCTTTGAGAGGCTCAATTAACCATTTCGGACCAGTTTTATAGCATTAGATGACTACTTCCATCAAAATATGTAACCAACAAGTACTGTACTGATTTTCTGTCTTGTGCCCCAGGATGGCAAGGCTCTAGTTAGGATCACAGTAAAAGATCTGGTTCCTAGACATGAGAAGCCCCCAATCATTATCAAAATTCTTAATAATTATCAGTAATTATCAAAATTTTTGATATTAAAATTATCAAAAATCTTAATAATTTACAAATAAATGGTGCTCAAGTATTTTCAAAGAACTTCAAATATATAATCTCACTTGATCTTTACCAGAAGACAGGCAGGGCTTCTATCCTATCTTCATTTAAAGATGAGGGACAACTTTGAGCTGAGAAATGCTAAGCCCAATGTCCAATGGCTGATAAATGACAGAACCAGAAGTGGAACACGAGTTTTTGCCTCAGAATCCAGAACTTATTGCTCAATACTACTTCTCAAAGAGCCTTATTTATGCTTACTGAATAGCTCTGTAGAGAATGGCATTCAATGAGTATTAATAGATGACCTCAGTTTACTGTAATTCAGGATAATATTTTCACAATTAGTTTTAAATTTTAGTCAAAGTGGAATAAATGTTTTTAGCTTAGGTGAAAAATATTATATAAGGAGATATAGTTATAGCACCATATGGACAATACATAAATCTACAAATACTATGTTGGTCATTACCCATTAGGCCTAATGAATAAATACATTGTTATGCAAATGTGGCATAGTGAACCACTCTTCAATTTCCTGCTAAGTGAAAACAATGACCCAGACTTGACTAAAATCCCAGGAATGATATTAGATCACTTATCTCTGTCACTCTGGATATCAACAAAATTAACTAGTTAACTCCATAAATCATCTCTCTCTCTCTCACTCATACCTCCTACCCTTTTGCTGTAGTGCTACAACACAAATCAAACAGCCTTCCTTTGTCATTTTTCATCAGTAAGTCTTCATCAGACATTTTGCCAAGGAAGATATGGCTTGTCATACCTGAGGTGAACCACACGAAGTTTCTTAGAGGTCAAAATGTACTTAATAGCGGGACTGAAAGTGGCTCTCAGCTACTTTTTTTTTTCTCCCTCAGAGAAGATGATAATTATGTAATACAGCATGTAGATACTAAAAGAGCAGGGAGTTAAATATAGGTAAATAATAAATACACATTCATCTCCTGAACAAAAGATTACAGAAATATCCTCTGCTCCAATTTGATTCCCTTAAAATCAATTTCAGAAAAAAAATTGGAAATATTGGGTATTTATAAATTGGTCAACCATGTGGTTAATAACTAAAACAAATATTTTCTACTACATATAGTTATTAAAATGGTACAAAGCAAAATACTTTTTCATATTTTGAAGTTTTCTCTATTATTTTCTTGCCAATACTGATTACTATCATTTATTTATAGAGACATGGAATGCCACATTAGTCAGTATTTTTTTTTTTTTTTTACCAGTTTTATTCACAACATTTATTTCCTGATTTTGGTCTTTGTGAGACCATAACTGGTGTGAAATTCCTATCAAATGCGTCAACACTCCCGGGATATCTACTTTTTGCCAATTTCAGGCTTCCTGGCCTGCCTCAGCGAGGTCTATCGATTTACCCTTATTAAGTGAAGTCTGGAAATCTGCCCCAAAGCCTCTTGAGTGTAGCTTTTGCTTAAAATGAGGCTAATGCCCATACACTATACAGGGCCTCAACATTTGTTGGTTGCAATTCATTTTTTATAACCGGTGTAGTCGAGATACAACACCGTGGTCAATGAATGCTTTCTCTGCTATCATAACGAGTTCCTGTGGGGATTCCACAGACTCACTTTTGGCACATGAGGATTGAATTCCACAGCTCTATGAATGGCTTCTACTGCATTCATCTCTGCTGTGCTCAGCCCCCGCCGAGATGCAGCCTCAGGAGAGAATCTGAAAAGCAGAAAGACAAAAACCATCCAGTTGGGACCACTGCTTGGGCATCAACCCGAAAGCATCTACACATCAAGGGCCCATAAAACCACAACGAGCCAATGACATGAGCTCTCCCAACTTCTACTGCATGGAACCTCTGAGTGACCCCGAGGACCGAGGCCAGCAAAAACCCCAGCAGAAGCAGAAAGCGTGCTTGCATCTAGTCATGGCAGGAGTTAAATTCGGCTGTCAAGTCTCTGTCTAAATAGCTAATCTAAGTCTTCTACGAGGTACCTGCTCAGGTCGGGGGAAGAGGTAGGACTGACAAGGGCAGACAGTGTAGGAAAAAGAGAAAACTAGGTTACAGAAGAGTGCACTTGGTTAAAAACAGAGCTGGGAAGGATTTGAAAGGAGGCCTCCCACCCAATGTCAGTGCTGCGATGGAGGTTAAATCATTGCAGCGTCAGCAGCAGGCGAGCCTGCTTGGGGCCATTCCGGCAGGGGGCGTGTGCATGCCCAAACTGCGGGCGAGACACCTGCCCGAGTGAATGAAAAAAACCAGACCATGCAATCTCTTTCTCACCTCACACCCAGGGCTAACTCCAGAGCTGTGCTTGGCAGGCAGACACCACAGGGGAAGCTGTGACAACCCTGGCCCTGCCCTCCCAAGCTGGAGTCGCTGTGTAGGGAGAAAAGATGTTGCAGTAGGTACTGGCGATCTACAGGATAAAAAAGAATGAAAGAAAATTACTTTGGTCTTGAAGTGTACACACACTTAACAGCAAACCTGTCTGATACAGCAGAGGCTGGTTTCCTATTCTCTGCTTTTGATGCTACAGAGGGATTATATCGGGGAAGTGTAAGAGTTTATGGACTCAAAACCAGTTAAGCCATCTAGGCTCTTTCACCTGACAGGCATCCTTGGATGCTTATGAAAAGTCCATATGCCATAGTCACCTGCCTGAACAAAATAGGCAAACGTCCCATTGAGATGGCAACTCAAAGTTAACAGACCAGTGGGGGCTAATTTGGAGTTGATGAGGCAAAGAATGAGAGATGACCATCCCGTCTGCCACATTCCACATGTGTATGACACTGCCCATTTATAGACTGCTGAAGGGAGAGGAATGTGCAGGAAACGAATAGAAGGATGGCATTCTGTGTAAGTCCCAAGCAGGTGTTTTGGTATCTACTGTCTCACACCAAAAAAGTCATCTCAGAAGTATGGAATTTCAAATAAATCTTGCTTTAGGATACCTTTACACACCCTTACATTACCTGAAGATACACATTCCCTCCTTCTAATAGTGAAAGAAAAGAACAGCAGGTTTTGGAAAATGCATGCTTATAAGCAGGGGTCTCATAGACTAAGAGAAACTTCCAGAGAAAGCCCTCAGAGGCAACACATCTCAATTCCGGTCAGGCATTAGTACCGCGCAAGCTATTATTCACTTACTTGTCAGAGACAGCTCTTGCTTTGAGCAAAGCAGCTGTGTAGCATATTGTTGCTGACTTTGGTAAGCTTATATCTGTTGGAGAAAAAGAAAGTAGGAACACATAAGTTTGTAGGTAACAAAGAGCAATAATTTTCAATACACTAGCATTTTAATCACATTTAAGTGTAATAAAGCATAAATGAAGAATATTTTAATACATATGTTACACAAGAATTTCAGCTATTCCTTACTGTATCAACACAGTATGTGAAACTAAGGGTAGGTTGTATTTTTATGAATAATTCATGTCCACCAGGCTGACTCTTAAGCAATCACCTTCTATTTTAGAATATGAATTTTTGTATGTTGAGTTGAAGCAGATTGTAGCTATAAATATATAAATTTAGATATCACATGAATATCCTTGATGTGAAAGTGTCTTTGTCACTTATCAAAATTTCTCGACAGGTGTATGAAATACTAATTGAAGAAAAAAATCTACATTAAAAAAAGACATAGCCAAATGAATGATTCTTTAGTGGTCAGATTTAAACTACATTTCTTTTGCATTAAATTTCAAGTTTACATTCAATTTTTAATAGTGCTTGTTAAAAATGTAAAAGTCAAAGTCAAGGAGATATACATATATATCTAATATATAAATAAACATATATAACTTTTAAACAGTATATGTATGAAATATTTAGGAAACTACACAATTTTTGCTCATGCCAACCTATCATAAATCTCCTTTCATATGAAGACTCACTGGTCACCAGGAAAAACAGTTCCTTTCAATTTTACAAAAAGTACAGAAAGGCCAGGGTGGGAGTGGGGTTCAGATAATGAGTTTACAGGAAAGTGAAAGCACAGGGTACAAGTGAGAGTAGATAAACTCAAAGAGGGCATTCCTTTGGGTGAAAAACATGTTCTTAAAGTATGATTGCATTCTTTCCAGAATAGGAGTTAGTATTTAATACTTGCAACCAAATTTACACTATAACACAGAAATACTTTAATTCAGAACAGGTAAAAATATGCCATTCCCAGATGCTGCAAAATTCATTCTAGGTTAGAGGAACTCTTTGCACCTGGAATGCCCTGCAAGTTTCTTTGCAAGGCTGTTTTCAACTTAGAAAGGATTACATTAAAGTAGAAATGAAAAAGGGAAGTCCCATAATTAGCCAATAGACAGAGGCAGAAGAAAACAATTTCATAAAAGAAAACCAATCTCTCTTTCAATAAAGAGTATTTAATGCCAATTCCAAGGAGATTCCTAAGGAACTTCTCTTTGAGGGAAATTTCAATGACATTGATAAAACACAATCATAGAAAATATCAGCACAGAATTGAAAGGAAAAGAGGTCTTTGTACCCTTAATCTCATAAACTATTTTCAAGCAAAATGTCACCACCACATACATACTATATAAAATGGTGCGCTTACAATTAGGAAGAAAAAAATGCCAGACACTCATGGATTAGTCTTGTTGCTTTTCCAGCATCTAAACATTTAACAGCTTTCCAGTGTGGAGAATCAATACAAAAATGAAATATCCTGTTTTTTGGGTATACTCATTGATTGTTATTTGAAGCTAATAAAAAAAACTAGATGATACATGGCCTACTTAAAAGTTCAGACTTTTGATTTTAAAGTTACCCAAGCCTTGTTTCCGAAAACAATGATCATAATTATTTGAAGGTGGCAGCATGAGAAGGAGCCTCTTTTTAAGGACTTAGCTGCTCAACAAGAAAGATCAAGTTGTGTTTGATGGTTACCTAATCAATCAAATGAACACTTTCACCCAGAGAGAAATACAGAAAGAGATACAATGGAGGCATTCCAGCAAATGACTAGAGATGCCTAATCAAAGGTAATCTTTAATCTAGAATCCTGACCCCCATTCCCACTAGCATAGACAGGACATTCACAACTAGAAAAATGCAACAGCATTCAGCAACATATGACGACTACAGTACATTTTCTCCATTTTTAAAATGTTTGCTCCTTCTCCTTTATTTAGTATATGTGCACAAGAAAAATGCTTAAAAATAACCAAAAATATATTTTAATCAGTATCAAATGAGGAAACAGGGAAATGTAGCTCTATGAAAATACCCCATTCCCCATTGGTGGCATTTCATTCTATTTATCTTTTTATGCTAGTGAGTTATTTTGTTCCCACTGATTAAGAAAAATAGAAAATAGCAAAATATTCTTGCATAGCTTGTTTATTTAGATATTTTCAATGTTATTCTTTTTTCTGTAAAAACATTACATCTATTTGGTAATAGCAATTTGCCTCTAAGGAGGGATGAATCACTCTAAAGAAACTGATCCTAAATTTCCCTTCACACAGAGCGTCTTGTTCAGATAGGTTTTGGTTTACAATTTTCATTTTTGAAAGTGATGCATATTTTTCTGCAGAGCACTTAGGCAATATAAATGGAAAGCTCTTACGTTTTGCCTACCCAGCAATTCCACTTCTAAGACTTTATCCTAGGAAATAATCATTAATGTGCACAAAGATTGTTCATCACAACATTGTTTCTAATGGAATACTGGAAATGGCCCAATGTCCAATTATAGACTGGTTAACACGCTGTAAGTACATTCACAGGGTACAATTCCATGCAGTCATTAAATCATGGTGGTGGTGGAAAAGTACTGAATGATCTGGGGGAAATGTATTGTGCACACATTAATAAGTTTATAAAAAGTATGCTTTAATATTCATCTTTAAAAGCATTTATATACACAAAGAAAAAGATTGGAATAATATGCACCAAATATTGTAGACTCCCTTTATCAGTAGTTTCACTTTCTGTGGTTTCAGTTGTCCACAGTCAACTGCAGTCTGAAGATATTAACTGGAAAATTACAGAAACGAATACTTTATAAGTTTTAAACAGCATGCCATTCTGAGTAGTGTGATGGGATCTTGTTACTGTCCTGCTCCATCCAACCTAGGATATGAATCATCCCTTCGTCCAGCACATCCACAGTGTAGATGCTACTGCCCATCAGTTACTTTGTGGCCACATGCATTATCATAGTTATCACAGTGCTGTCATAGTTATCACTGTGCTTGTGTTCAAGTAACCCTTATTTTATTGCATAATGGCCGCAAAGTGCAAGAATAGTGATGCTGGCAATTTGGATAGGCCAAAGAGAAGATGTAAGGTGCTTCCATTAAACGAAAAGGTGAAACTTCTCAACTTAATAAAAAAAGAAAAAAATCATACACCGAGGCTGCTAAGATCTACAGCAGGAATGAATCATGTGAATCGTGAAAAAGGAAAAGAAATTTGTTAGTTTCACTGTTGTACCTCAAAACTGCAAAAGTTATGACCACAGTACGTAGTAAGTAGAATGACAAGAAGGAGGGGCCACATTCACATAACTTCTATGACATATTGTTATAAGTGTTCTATTAGTTGTTAATCTCTTACTGTGCCTAATTTATTTATTTATTATTTATTTATTATTTTATTTATTTATTTTTTGAGACAAAGTCTCGCTCTGTTACCCAGGCTGGAGTATAATGGCATGATCTCGGCTCACTGCAAGCTCTGTCTCCTGGGTTCAAGCAATTCTCCTGCCTCAGCCTCCTGAGTGGCTGAGATTACAGGCACGCACCACCACGCCCGGCTGATTTTTGTATTTTTAGTAGAGACGGGGTTTCACCATGTTGATCAGGCTGGTCTCGAACTCCAACCTCGTGATCCACCCACCTTGGCCTCCCAAATTGCTGGGATTACAGGAGCGAGCCACCACATCCAGCTTACTGTGCCTAATTTATAAATTAAATTTTATCATAAACATATATGTACATGAAAAAATATTGTGTATACAGGGTTCAGTATTCTCCATGGTTTCAGGCATTCACTGGAGGTTTTAGAACATATGCCCTAAGGATAAGGGAGGACTACTTCATTGGTGGTGTTTATTTCTGCATGGCAAGATTATAGGCAATTTTTCCCACTGTTTATCTGTATTTCCAAAGTTTTCTGTCATGTACATGCAAAAACTGTTTTTTTGGTTTTTTTTTTTTTTTTTTTAGCAGATAATGATGCTAGAGGGAAGAATTCTGTTCTATAAATTGCCTGAAGCAAGTTCATGGGCAAATACATTGGTGGAGCCAGATACCGACAGCATAGACAAACGTAGAATTTATCACATGAGGTGCTGTCAGCCCGGAGAGCTATCAGATGTAACTTTCACATACTCTTGTGAAAGTTAGTGTGTTCTATTTACAGTGTGCCCGCTATGGTACAGTTACCTTATTAGCCATATTTTAATCTAATAACTGCCTAACATCTAAACCAGTGGCAGGAACTGATGTTTGGCTCACCATTAACAAGAACCATATATACTCTCCTCTAGGAGAAATTATTTAGGCTGCCTGCCCCATGAGCACCTCCTCTTTCATTCCCACCTCACCCCACAAAAAAGGGGGAAGCTTGGTTATTGCTGCCTGTAATTTTTAAACTTAATATTTTGACATAATTATAGGTTTCCAGAAATTTATAAAAATATACACAGAGTCCTGTAAATGTTTCACTCAGCTTCTCCCAATGGTGGTATTTTATATAACTGTAGTATGATATCAAAAAACAAGAAATTGACATTGCTAGAGTACTATTGGGTACACTACAGACCTTGTTCATTTTCACCATTTTTTATATACAATCAAGTGTGCATGTCTATCCAATTTCATCCCATAACTAGATTCATGTAACCACACCAAAATACAGAACTGTTCCATTACCACAGAGGAACTCCCTGGTGCTACCCCTTTATATTTGTACTCTCCTTGTCCTTCCTCATACATGTCCCCCGGTGATCACTAATCTGTTCTGTACTGTTCTGTCTGCCTGCTATGACTTCATGCTTTTATCACTACGGAAATGGATAAAATGATAAGATGAATAGAGTGGCTACCAGTAGTGATTGAAATGGTGGCAATAAGAACAAATCATCCACTTTCCAATATTGCCTGTAATTTATTCAGAAATTTTACTTTGAGTAAGCAACTCAAAATAATTCTAAGTCAGTTTGATTTTGTATGAACACACTGACTCTGCAGTGGC